TCTTTTTGCTGAGGAAGACCGGCTCTGAGCTAACATCTATTGCCAGTCCTCCTCCTTTTTTCTTCCCCAAAGCCCCAGTAGATAGTTGTCTGTCATAGTTGCACATCCTTCTAGTTGCTGTATGTGGGACGCGGCCTCAGCATGGCCGGAGAAGCGGTGCGTCGGTGCGCGCCCGGGATCCGAACCCGGGCCGCCAGTAGCGGAGCGCGCGCACTTAACTGCTAAGCCACCAGGCCGGCCCACTAGTTATTTCTTTCACTCAATAAGCTCAAGGATTCCAGTGGTGTCACAAATTACCAAAGTTTCTAACCAAGTTAATTAGTGTCCCCAATTGGGTTGAAATAGTTCACTATAAGTAAGTATATTCTTTTCTTTAGATTGTTGCTTTTTTTTTTTTTTTTTTTGCTGGGTTACTTGCTATTCATATTGAAAATAGCCCATGTACTCTCTTCAATCACTTCTATTCTTGAAGATTCCTCAGGATCTAAGACTGGGTAAATAAAAGCAGAATCTCTAATTAAGAAGACTTCTCCAACCCCTACCTCGTCCCATTATTGTCATTGTTAAGAATAGGCCCTGTGTCTTTAAGACTTGTATCACTTTTCCGTCTCTCAGTCTATTACCCTGCTTGATTATACCCAGCACTTTATTGAGGCAGTCTAAAAGGTAATCTTGTTGCCATTTTGGAAGAACTGAGGCACAGATAAGTAAAATGACATGCCCAAGCTTACCCAGTTTTAGAGACAGATAAGGAGCTTGAATCCAGGGCTTCTGACTTCAAGGACGAGAAGTCAATAATAAGTCAAACCTCAGCCTTTGCTTATAGTTTAAGGTAAACTCGTCTCATTTCTCTTAAGACTTGGCTTTCCAAGCTTTCAAATAGGGGTAACAATCCCTGCCTATCTCAAATAACGTCCGTCAGACATGCTTCAGTAACGCAGTGGCGTGGCATTTCATCTTGATGCTCCAGACGGATGGAAATGGAAAATTAAGTCAATGAGAAGCGGCATCAGCTGTGTCCGTCCACTTACAAAGTGTCCATCTGCCTCGGGCTCTTGGAGCTGAGCTCATTTCTTCCAAAAGTAAAAGCAAGTATCTGGCACATGGAAGCTCAGCTGGGGAAGACAGACTCGGCAATGTCTCCCCACCACGTCAAGTCCCCTAGCTGGATAGAGCAGATTTCTAAATGTGTCACTGCACGAAAGGGAATGAATCTGAAGTGAGGAGTTCCCTTCTGTCAGGGAAGGACAGGGTGAAACGGAGAAATCAGACTGCCCAGTGCCATCCCACTATAAGCTAGTCACCTCTGGTGTCTCAGCTCTGTTCCCTTCACCCCAAGATCTAGTCTAAAGAAACTTCTCAAAGGGTGCAGAGTCTAAACTATATTTGGACAAGAGTATGCACATCAGGAGTGCCGAATTTGTCATTTACTCATTCAACAAATACTTTTTGAGTGTCTAATAGGTTTTCACAATATTCCTCCTAGTGAGATGTATTATTATCAATGCCACCTCCCTACTACATGGAAGTACTACATGACCTTAGTATTGACTTCAAACTCTTTTCACTACCACCTGCTCAGCTCCCAGCATAAAGCATTCAAGAAGCACCAAGTAAATTCATGTAATGAAAACAGGAAGGCCAGTTTTGTTTTATTGTTTTGTTGCTGCTGTCTTTGTTTTTCCTGGCCACACATTTGTATTCCATTCCTCACCCTGTTGTTTTCAGTGCTTGGGGCATGGGAGTAGAGAAGGAGAGAGAATTCCCCAGATGAAGACTGGCAGATATAACTGAAGGACCCCTGGGACTCTGGTAGCAAGAGAAACTGAATGGCCGAGTCCAAGGATGCTAGTCAAGAAAAAGGATTCACAGTAGCTTTGTCAGAAGAATCTTCAAGGAGAAACCAGGCATGTTCTGTCTCTCTCATTCTCTCTCTCTTTAGCTCTATCTCCTATCTCTCTTTTAATTCTATCTCTGCCTATCTATCTATATATCATCTATCTACCTGTCTACATACCTATTTACCTATCTATGTCTATCTCTACCTCCCCTCCAGAACCCCCAGAACATCCAGGTTCTTCTCTAAGCAGACAGATGTATTGAGGTCTTAAACATCATCAGGAAGAAATTAGCCTTCATGAGAACTCAACTCTAGTCCCAATTCCTGCCACTCTGAGAGGTTTCTTTGCTGAGGAAATGAATGAAGTCATCTTAAAGAATAGACCTTACATGATCTCATGATAATCTTACCCTCTGTATCTTCATATTGGAGAGGAGAAAGGTGGTATCATGGCAACCTCAGGATCTTATCCTTAAGAGGATGTGCTTTCATCACTCTGTAGATATGGCATATATGGGGAGATCTCTTTGCTAGGTGTAAAAAGGCCAGACTCCTACTTCTAGCCCCACCACCAGCTCTCTCTGTGATCTGGAAGCAGACGCCTTACCTCCTATGGCTCTTAGTTTTCATCTCATGAAATCACTTCAACAATGCTGGATAAATATTATCATCTCCATTTTTTTTTTTTATGAGGGAAATGAAGTTCAGAGAGGTTAGGTTAGTTTATTTAAGTCCTACGTAGCTTGCATATGGCAGAGTTAGGATTTGAACCTAGCTTTGCCTGATGCCAAAAACTGTGCTCTTTGCAATTCCCTTTATTGAATTTCTAAAGAGTTGGATTGATGGCTGGTCATTCTTGGGCCTGAGCTTTATTATATGTAAGTTGGCCACATTCGCCAAGAGGTTGGAGCTACTGAGAAGTGCCGAGCCTGTATTCTTTCCATGCTTGAACTGCCAGGCATGCTACTGGTCACTGGAGTCTTCAGCTGGCTCAAACTCATCCTTAAATAATTGAATTATAATGAATTGATTTATTCTGGCTCTTTTGATAGTATTTCACTATGTAAACTGTTTGCAGAAATAAACAAGGGATTTTGGAGCTTGGAAGGGGCTCAACATTCTGCTGCCCCTGAATTCAATGACTCCTTTTTCAGATAGTCAGCATCATAGAAATCCAACTCTTATTTCTACTTGACCCGGGCTCTTTCTATTTGGGGGAATGCTGCTTGAAAGTGGTTCAAGTGAGTACTGATTTCACAAGCTGATTCAATGCAGCCACTTAGAAATAAATTGACCCCTGAGAAGAAGAGTATTTTCTCTCAACCATTATTTTAAAATGTATAAAGCATGTTTATGTCCATTTCCTACGAGAATTCTGAGGCTATCCTGAGGGGTAGTGCTGGCTGGGACAATCATTTCTGTATTACAGATGGGAAGCCAGAGGCTGAGAAGTGAAGTTAATTGTGCAAAGTTACATAGCTCATATAAGGGTCAGAAGTCCAATGCTGGTTTGAAATGGAGCTCCACTCCATTATTATGGAGTAAATAAAGGAGGATGCCCTAGATCAAATGGTACCTGCAGGATGGCCATATGCATACCTTCTGATTTGCCTGAGACATTGAGATTTTCCCAGGATATGTGCCTATTGCCTAGAGATAGTTTTTAATAGCAACTAGATCACTCTCAAAATGCACTAGTTTGGATGATCAATTATAAGGTCACCCTAAGACACTGGATAGGGACTAGATTTCGAGGAGTTCACCATTTTTCAGAGGGGCTGTAGCATGTAGACGTGATGGCAGCACAGTGTGGTAAGTGTTAAGGTGCGGATCTTTATAAAATAGGAACCCACACAGGAAGAGGTATTTAACTTTGCCTAGAAGAGTTGGGAAAATAGCACAGAATACCTGACATTCAAGTTATTAAAAGATGGGCAGAGTGATCTCTTTCGGATGGCTATATCCAGATCTCTCCTTGTATTGTTCTGTGTTGAAATACCGAGAAACATGTATAGGTCCTCCCTACTTAGAAGGCATCCCGCTAGCTCTGTGCTTCTGTGATCTTTGTCCTTGCAGCTAAGTCAGGATCATTGCAGCATTAAATTGTTCCAGGTAGAAATACTTGCTGTGATTAGATTTACATGGGGGCTTGAGAACTCACTTGGCCTTGAATTGAAACTTCCAAGGTATTTGAGAAGACAGGAAGGGCTCCTGGTGTCCTAGCAGCCTAACCTCCTTATTGATAGTGATGATTGAGCCCAGAGAGGGAAAGAGACTTGTCTAAAGTAACAGAGCAATTTAGTTACAGAGTTGGGACTGAAGCCAGCATGTCTTGTACATCAGTTCACTCTTTATGCAAAACCAAAATTGTCTTTGGAGTTACACCTCAGTTTGCAACTATGAAGTTCTGTGGTGTCAGATAATGCACCCAGAACTTGCAAAGTGAAGACCTGAGTTTGAAATCAGGATCCAGCATTAACACGCTGCATGACCCTAAGCAAGTTATTTAAGACGTGGGATCTCAGTGTCCTAATCTGGAAGACTAAAAAAATAATTAAAATAATAATACCCTCCTAACAAGGTTGCTGTGGGGCTCACTTGGGGTAATGAAGGTGGAAAATGTGAACTTTTGTGTGTGTGTGTGTGTGTGTGTGTGTAATTAAAAATATATAACACAGGATCTACCCTTTTAACAAATTTTTAAGTGTAATGTGCTTAATATAACTATGAGCACAATGTTGTACTGCAGACCTCTAGAACTTAATCATCTTGTATAACTGAAACTTTATACCCTTTGAACAGTAACTCTCAACTCTCAACCATTTCCCCCTTCCTGTAGGCCCTGGCAACCACTATTCTACTCTCTCCTTCTGTGAGTTTGACTACTTTAGATACCTCATATAAGTGGAATCATACAGTATTTTTCCTTCTGTGATTGGCTCATTTCACTTAGTATAATGTCCTCCAGGTTCGTCGATGTTGTCACATATGGCAGAATTTCCTCCTTTTTAAAGGGTGAATAATATTCCATCACAACTATCGATAACAGGCTGGACAGTGCTGTGCATTCTGCTGGTCTGGTTCCATGGCTGCTGATGACAGCTGAGACCAAAGAACAAATATCTATCTGTTTTCTCTCTTCTATGTCCATCTCCTGCAGATGAACCCAGCCGGTGCTATTTCCATGATGGTGATGGGGTCTGTGAGGAGTTTGAACAAAAAACTAGCATCAAGGACTGTGGTGTCTACACACCCCAGGGGTTCCTGGATCAATGGGCATCCAATGCTTCTGTATCGCATCAAGACCAGCAATGCCCAGGCTGGGTTATCATTGGCCAGCCAGCAGCATCGCAGGTAAGCTCCCAACCATGTGTGACATTTCTTGCAGACATTCTGAACCTCTGCTCTGCCTCTCAGGACTGCCTACCTCAAAGGCAGTGTCAATGGACGTGGCCACTTGACCATATCTCTAGCCAATATCGTTCCAGGGCCTCATGAGTACTATTCGTCAAGGATTAGACATAGCATGGTTAAGGGCAGGGAACATCAGCGTGGTAGGGATAATGACTGTTTCACTACCTATTATAATTCATATCTGGGGAAAGAATTCTATTTTAGATATACCACTGGAATTCAATGGGATAAGAACAAATTCTTCTGGGGGAGTCCTGCTTTTTTGGGGGGGATGCCAAGCTGTGTGCTCCATGAGCACACTCCTGTGCATTAATGGTAACTCTACCATGAATTTGCTGTGTGGCCTTGGACTAGTCTCCCCACCTGTCTGGGCCCCATTTTTTCCCATCTTTAAATTGGAGAGTAGTTGAGGTTGATGATCTCCAAGGACCTTCCCAACTCTAAAAAGCTGTGACTCATTCCTCAGTCCCCTAACGCACTATTTATGTTCCAGGGTTCTTCCCTAAGGGACTGCCAGCTTAGTTGAGGGAGCAAGAGTGTTGGGGCCACTAGAGCTTGTGGGATTCTAGGGATGGCTGGGCTGTCCCCAGAGCCCCCTTTCCAATTATCCTGCTGAGCAAGCACCTGCCTTCTTCCGAGACTACCATCTCCCAGAGACGCGACTCAGTGCTTCTGACCGCCTGGCCCAGTGGCCGCCTCTGAGGCAAGCCTGCCGCCTGGCCTTGCAGATGAACCATTATTCCTAGTCATTCTTCTCTAATATTGCTTCCCTGACACAGGGTTGGGGTGGGGGGTAGGCTGATTTCTAGATGAAAGAGAGATGTCACCTTCTGGGGACCAGTGAAAATTATCAGATGAAGTACAAGATGGGTCCACCTCATTTATATAAGTTATAGTGTTTATTTCATCATTTTTTCATTTATTTGTTTGCTTGTGCTCATGTGCATTAGATTATTTATTCATTTGTGGTTGTTTCTGACTGCCCTGAGGAGAGTGGAAAAAAATCATGTATAGTGCCAGCCTGGTGAATGAATGAATGAATGAGTGAATGTCTAGGGTTCGTTCTCCCCCGTGCCACCTCGGTACTTGCTGAATTCATCTTTGGTTACACCCATCACACTGAACTCTAATTACCTGTTTGTATGTCTGGCTTCCTCATTAGGCTGCTAGTTCTTTGAAAACAGTTTTGAGTTTTATTCATCTTTGTCCTCTCATCTTCAGGCACAGGTCTAGAGAAGACTGCTTGGGAAATGTGTGTTTAATTGGCTGTAGATACACACACAGTCACACACACACAGACACACACACTTACATACACATTGCTACCATTGCTACATGCAAATGAACAATGCTAAGAGAAAATGCTCAAGAATCCCCTCTCTATGACATAGAATGTCCTGCTCAGGAACAGCGCGGCTGGCCAGCAAAAGAGCCAGGAATTCCAAATTCAACACTAGCATCCAGTTCCTAGAAATGTTTAAAAAACATCATTCAAACAAGGGAATTATTAACACACTCTGAATCTCACATGAGCAAGAGTTGAGGTAGCAGCTGTGCTTAAAAAAACGACCCAAAGGTTATTGCTACTAATGTGAGAAAGGGAGAGAAAGAATTTTTCAGTCTTAGTATCTGAAAAGAGATTTCATGAGGCAATTATCCCTATCTTGTAAGGAGGGGGCTGTGAGGAATTATGGGTGATTATCTCTTCCTAAACAAAAATCCAATTTAAAAAAATCATTATAAATACTAGCTCTTCGATCTACAAAGAGGAGACGAGGAAACAAAATCATCCTATTGAATTATTCATCGTAACCAATTTTATTTTAATGAAATCGACTAGGTTCCATTACTCTGGGCTCGGACATAATCTTTGTTACAAGGAGACTTCAGCTGTAACTAAATTTGCCATAATGAGATCAGCTCACTGGAGAATACTGGGTCAGAAGAGGCGACGTGTGTGCAGGCTGGGTGCAGGGCCAGGCAGGGCGGCCCGAGGGCGGCAGAACAAAAGTCTCCCCAATTCCCTGTCTGAAAGCAAATGACTAGAAGTCATTCACACACTGCCCCCCATCATGCACACACGCACACACACACACACACACACACGCACGCACACATACCGAGCCTGCGTAATTCTGAGTAAGGTCCTTCCTGGAATGTAAACATAGCTCCTTTCTGACAACAGAGAAGAGGAGGAGGAAGTACAGCCGTGGCCTTCATTACCTCGTGCAGTGATTAGAGGAGGCTGGTAGTTAATTTTCACCTTGTCACAGCTTCCAGTGAAGAGGTTGATGGCTTGAGAGAGGGAGTTGGGAGGTTCTTAGATGCACCGTGTGCCCCTCACCTTCTCCCAAGACAATTATAGTCTCTTCCTCCTCCTTCTTCCTGTTTCTCTTTTCTGTCTCTCTTACACGCATACACACACACACACACACACACACGAAAATTCCTACAAGAACGGGCCATGGAGGTGCATGGGTGCAGAGAGTGAGCACTAAAGCAGATGGAGAAGAGTGGGGGAGGGAACCAGTGGTCATCGAGGGCCACCAGCCACAGTACTGGACACTCATACACGCCATAGCCGATCCCCTGCCCATTCTTCAAGGTTAGAATTGTTACCCACCTTCGAGGAACTGAGAGGTGGAGTGGCTTCCACAAAGTCACACAGCCCATAAGTGGAGAATCTAGGATTAGAAGAGTCTCATGGAAGATGACAGTGGGAGCTTGGGAATATGCAATCACATCCAAAAGTTGGAAATAATTGGATGTCTGGAAAACCTCTCTGGGAAACAAGCAGAAAGAATCGTCAATGGGCAGATTTTAGTGTTGATGTCCCTGCGCAGACCTCATGAGGTACTTGAATTCTCCTCTAGCAGATTCATGGGCACTGTCCACACCTTTGAATTCAGGCTGCTCCCACTCCCTGTCTCAGTGGCTCTGTTCCGTGATGATCTCCTGGGCGTTCATTCACTGGACACTCCATTAACTTGGGGACTGATGAAATGACCATAGTTTCTCCCATTTCCTCTTTACAACCCAGTTTTGTCCCACTCTCTGCCTTTCCCTGATGTGTAAAAATGATAAATGCAGGTGTTTATTAGACTTATTGCCTAGCTCTGTGCTGGAGCCTGGGGAAGAAACCAAAGAAAGGAAGATCCAACCTCTGACCTTGTCAGTGTACAAGACTTAGGTGTGAGGATTCTGTCAACAGGAGCAGCCCTGTCAGAAGAAGTTGGCAGGTTCTCACTGTGACTGCTGCAAAGAAGCAGCACTCATCGTCTTAGATGAGTCTAGAAAATGGATTAAAACTTCAGTTTTGATTTTTGTATAAGCCCTCCACTTTTAATAGTTTCCAGTCTCTCTCATCCATTCTCCTCAAACAAGATTCCCGAATTTGGTTAGGGCTAAGCTATTCCACCCCGAATATTGAGTCTTATATCCAGATGTTATCAAAAGTATCAGAACTCTTCTGGTTGTGCAAATTGGGCTGAACATCCTATAATAAGAGACATTCTTTGAATGTTTTGGCCGTGCACCTTCCTGGCCCAGCTGGAATTCAAGAAGTTTCTGAGACAGAACAAAAATGGAAATCAACCGAAAGAATCGAGTTATCTCTCTTCTGGGAACCTCAGAATGGTTTGGTTTAAATGCTTGCAAAGATCTCATCTTGTTCCTATTTTGTCTCCATGTTTCACATTTCTCTAGTGCTTTATACCAAAGGCTGCCAGAATGAGATGTAGATATTCCTTCATCCTGCCCCACACCTAGCCTTTCTACCAAAGCCCATTTCCTCCTGTCCAAACAGGCACCTCCCTCCTGCAATGGCCTAGGGAGGAAATGGAAACCCTAAGCCCATCAGGAATGCACAGCGCTCTCCCAGGGATCAGACTTTAGTCAACCAACCAATTTATTTGGTTAATCCTTTGAGGGTAGAACTTAGACTAAGCATTTCCAGAGCAGTCGTTTCAGGGCCAAAGTAAAGAAAACCTTTCTAAGAATGAGAACGATACACGGTAGGATGGAGTGCCTTGTGATATAGTAAGCTCCTCATCACGAGGCACTCGGGCTGAGCTGGTGATGGAACAGGAGATTCTTACATTGGAAGGCAGATGTGACCTAGGCGTCTCTCCTTCCTCTGTAACTGATTCTCTGACTTCATATTCCATCAACCCACTTTGGGTACACCAGTCCTTTGCCACTTCATTTTGAATTGCTGCTACCTGTTCCTTGGCATGCCCATAATACTTTATGCCTTTAACAAAATACAAATGGTAATTTGTCTTTCATTACAGGCATTTATGTATTAATTCTTTTATTCGTTTGATCACACAGAAATATATTTGAATCCTACACCGAAGAATGAGAGTAGGGAGAGAGCATGGGCGTTAGTGGGGTGAAGTAGAAATCAGGCAGATATGGCGCCCTCTTACCTTCTCTTCTTACTTGGGAAGCTTGAGCAAATTTCTCCTCTGGGAACCTCAGTTTCCTCCTCTGGAAAGAGGGAAAGGTAGCATCGACTTGGTGGAGATTAAAGGAGTAAATGCAGAGAAAACACTTAGCACTGGGTTTTTTCTAGTTGTAGGGTAGTGCAAATGTTCATGCTTGTTGGGCTCCTCCACACCCTCACCCCAGAGCTGGCCACAGTGACCCACACAGTACAGAAGCTCAGTCAAAATTTGGTTGAGTTAAGCATCGTTGCATTAGCCAGAGTTTCCTGCCTCCTCAGGACTGTTCCAGGCATTTTGAGAAAGTGGTCCTTTTGCCGCCCTCAAAGAGCTCACCATTTCATCGGAGGAGTGTGTCCAACTAGAAATAGCAGCCAAGGCCCAAGAGTGTGAGATTCAGAGGGAGTTTCCCTGAGGAAGAAACCACACTGCTATAGTTTACTCAGCCAGCAGGGATGAGAGCTAGTGTGTAGGGATGGAAAAGTCCTCTGCCCA